TAGCCAGAGTTAAACCACGACACCGAGCTTCCTCAGGTCGCGTTTCTGTGGGTGTTTTAATTGAATCCATCCGTATTGTGACACAAAAGCTTTGTTGGTGGTGGAGCTCTTGTAGCTGTACAGGAGTGAACCCAAGCTAAGTGCTGGGTGCTGCCCGAGTCCCATGGCTGGCCTCTTTCTTTCAGGTCAGCAAACACCTGCGAGGTGAAGTTGGTCTCCTCTTCACTAACCGCACCAAAGATGAGGTCGACGAGTAAGTACACGCCGTGGCTTTGAAACGCTGGGCAGCCTTTCTGCCGCTCGACTGCTTCACCTGCTGATGCTTCTCTTGAAGTGGGGGTCTTTGACGTTCTTTCCGCAGCTAAAGCTCTCGTTACCCATCTGTGTCTCAGGTGGTTCTCCAAATTCAGAGAGGTGGACTTTGCCCGCGCGGGGAACAAGGCGACGTACACGGTGAGCCTGGACACGGGGCCCTTGGAGCAGTTCCCCCACTCCATGGAGCCTCAGTTACGGCAGCTGGGATTGCCCACGGCCTTAAAGAAAGGTACGTGAAGCGGGTGAGAAGGAAAGCTTCGCTTTTCATCTGTGCATAGAAGATCTTTTAAGAAGAATGTTAATTATTTAAGTTGAAATCAGTTTGGGAGAAAATTCGATGGAACTTTCTACTTTTTGGGCTGGTGTTAGAACTCATTATGTTCTTCCCAAACCCATGTCAAAGTGAAACAACCCATTTTCTACAAGATACCGTCTGTTTTCAGTGGAACAACAGGGCCTAACGCAGCGCGTTGGCATCCCATTCAGAAACCAGATGTGGGGGTGTGTTAAGAGTTGATCTCTCCCAGCTTTTTGGGGTGTGCTGATTTGTGCATGGAAAGGCGTAAGCCACAAAGGGGGGTGCTTGAGGAAGTCTGGGCTCTGCACCCTGCATTTTGGTGGGTTTATCCAATATTTGGGAGCCTACCCTAAGAGCTGTTGTTCCTGCAGGAGTGGTGACGCTTCTTTCAGATTACGAGGTCTGCAAAGAAGGGGACGTTCTCACCCCCGAACAAGCCCGTGTCCTGGTGAGTGAAGTAACGCGGTGTCTGCGTGAGCCTCTTTCCCCCGATACACAGCAATCAGCCCCGTGCCGCTGGAGGGCGCGAGTCCTTGAAGCCGAGGGGTATTTCTGGGCGTCAGTCAGCGTGGCGTGGCAGACGTCCTTACGCGTTCCTAACCCTGCAGCGATTAGTTTGGCTCCTGCTTTGCTGCAGTTCCCACCTGGAAGCAGTTTTTACTGTGAGTGTTTTTGCTAG